TGGCTGGACTGCTCTTGGACATGCCAGTGACCCCACTTGGTGTGATCCGACAGCTTTTGCAAACTAATGGCAGGATAAATCAGGTATTCTGGCACAGGAGTGGGATGCACCTCTATCAGACAGGGCTGGGAATCCCAGAAGGCTGTAGAGAATGCCTGCCAGTGCTTTATAAGGCACACTTCCCAAAAACACACTTTGGGGGGATGGATTCACAGCCCACAACTCCCAGCGTGTCCATAAGCCCAGAAACAAAAGCAAGACCAGGGAGGATGTGAGCTGCCTTGCTGTACCAGTCAGGACCTGGGGACATGGCTGTAGGAACATCCCCACAGGACCATCCGGGCACAGCTCTGGAGACTCCAGCAAGGCAGTGTGAGAACCACAGGAATCAAACAGCAAAAAGGCAGGAGTGCTGCCATCCTAATAAAAGGACGAGCCAGCTGGTCACCAGGAACCAGAGCAGCTGTCCCACTGAGCCAGCTATGCCCATCTTCCTGGACACCCATGGGGATGCAGCATGGGTGGGGCATGGGAAGAGGGAAAGGCAGCAAGAGGCCCAGACAGCATCACACCACTTTGACTAGAGGCAAAGAAGCCAGCTGGATACTGGGAGACCTTGGCTAACTGCTGCACATAACGCTGGGCTCTACTCCTCACTCCCCCTTAGGAGGCAAAGAGCGAAAAGCCCTGGTTTTATAAAGTCTTCTAACTGAAAACCAGCAGGATTAGAACTTGGTGGCCATTGATTGCCAATTTTCAACAGAACAGCAGCCAGGATTAGGTGGGGAGCTGGAGAACCCTGCTTCCCTCTAACTTCCCTGGGAACCAAGAACTGGGGAGGATCCTCCCTCTCTGCAGGTGATGGCACTGCAGAGTCCTCCCTGGTCAGAAGGAGAAGGAACCAACAAGGGGGAAGCCATTTCACTGAGAAAAGAGTAATGGGGAGACTTGCAGGCCAGTCAAGCGAGAAGAGAAACCACGCTGGAACTGGGACAAGTCATCATGAAAACAATCCCCAAACTTAATTCTCTTGGATGGGACTTCACGTAGTGCTCAGAAGAATTACCACTTTATCTTTGCAGACACAAGAAGCAAGAACTTGTTCTGCCATTGTGCAGTCACCAATTACATTTTTTTCTCTCTTTTTTTTTTTTTTTTTTTAAATGTGAGCAAAAGAGGCATCTTTACAGCTCACCATGGAAACTGCTGTTGTGGACAAGGAATGGCTGGAGTGTCCTCGGGGTGTCACTCTGTAGCAGGTGGCCAGAAAGACAATGACCCTACACCCAGGGTCAGTCTGGATCCAGCTGTGCCCCACTCTGGAACAGCTGGAATCCAGGCTCCCTGGCAGGGCAACCCCTCGGGCACTGACCCTCCAGGATCCCTGTAGAGGAATCCCTGCCTCGGTGCTCACCCAAACCAGACCATCAAAGGAACCAGAGCTGTTTTCTTGGAGAGAAGCGGTTCCAACTGGAGGGCTGCAGTTATCCGTGGCCAAGCTTTCCCATTGTTATTTTACAGTTGCTTGATGTTCTGAAAGATATTTAGAAAAATGACTTTAACTGTCCTGTGCCAAACTGGGTGAGGGTGAAAAAAACCCAAAATTTGGCAGAGATGTTATTCATTCAGCATGTAGCTTGGATGACGTCCAGTGACTAACACAGGAGTTTTAACTGATCTGGGAGACTAAAAACCATTCACAAATAATTTGATTTAGGGTCACCGTGATTTCTTTTTATAAATAATTTTCATTGAGAAGTATTTTTTTAATTAGGCTCGACAGATCCTAATAGCAGCTCCATTGTGCGCGCCGCTCATCGTTCCCGTCTTCCTAAATGACTTACACATGTTGTGCACTGGTTTCCTTGTTCCCTGCACACGGTGGGGCTTGTTCACGGGGCAACCAACCCCTCACGACAGCGGGTGAGCCGTGCTGAACTCCCCACTCCAAAGGCACAGCTCTGAGGGGAGCAAAGGCAGCTTTCACCATCCCGTTACACGCTCCGCTTCAGGAGCTGGTCGAAGCCTTCGCGCAGCTTCAGACACCCCCCCACAGCTGTAACTTTGCTCTAGCTCTGAGAGATGGCAACAGCGACTTTGCTTTGAGTGCTTTAGTGCTCCAAGTCCCATCATGGTGCAGGAAGCTCTCTGGACCAGAACACGCTCCCTTTTCCGTGGTGGGAGCGCTGGACAGGGATGGGACCGAGGCAAATATCTGACACAATGTGGCAAAAAGGCTAAACTCAGCCGCCTCCTAATCCAGCAAATCACCCAACTCAGCCTGAATAGATCTGGGAAGGCTGCAGGAGAATTCGGACAGAAGAATGACTCGGCGACTCGAATGAATCTTTCTTGGCAACATCCTCCGTGTGTGACAGCCTTTTCTTTGACTTGCACAATAACAATTGCAGCCCAGCCACTTCGGTTACTAATCTTATCTGTTGTTTGAATGGCTCTTAGCTTCCCTCCTGTTGATTATAAATGTTTGTACAAGTTCTTGGAGTCAGCAGAGTTGTTGTTTCGTAGCTGAATAACAGGCTTGGGCTCCAAACTTGGAGATGCTCGTTGTAATGATCAGATATGTTCTTAAAAGCCCACTGAATTGGATTTCAAAACAAAAGGCCCATTGATCTTCAGCCTGAAATCCCAGCCACAACTCTGAAAAACATTTTCCCTTGTCTTTCTGAGGAGCTGAAACTGCTGCGATAAACTACGACTACAACGGTCAAAGAAAGGAGGATTTATCTTATGAGAGGAAACTACCAGAAGTTGATCTTATTTAGGCTATCAGAACAGGGCTGAAGGGGATATAATTGCTACTTAGAGACATGTGGAAGGGGAGAAAACATGAGAAAATCTTGTGCAATCACCAAGCCGAGAGTTGTGTGACGGGGTACGAAAAGATTTCTGATTTTCAGAGCAGAGGTCTGGGATGGGTTTCAGCAGAAGCCACAGAAGCAGCCCAGGGTGCAGCCTGATAACCATATGGGAGACACTGATATGACTGCAACAGGAGCTCCCTGCAAGATCCCATCCAGGTTTTGGCCATCAGTACCTGGACAGGGCATGAAGAGCTCCCATTGAAACTGGGGGGGAAAAAAACCACCTTTTTGCTTTGTTTTCTTTACTTAAATAGCCAAATGATGTATTCAAGCCAAACTCAGTCTCAAAACCAGAGTATCAGGTAGTTGCTGTGACTTCCAACACAGAATAGTGCTGGGCAGGCAGGGACTCATCAGCACAGTCCTACCAAAGCACAAATGTTGGCAGGTTGCTCCTGGGATTGCTGGTGTCCGCCTGGAGCACATCCACCCTCAAAACAGTAACACTGGTCTGTGCTGGGATCAAAAAATAACCTCTGCTGCTGGCCAGTACCATCAGCACCAGTGATTCCCACCCCACTCAGAGACAGACCAATTATGCAATTATGCATATCCCAGCTCTACCACATGGATAAAGCAGTGGTTTATCCATAAAGATACCTGGTGGCATTAGCAAGACAGGTCTCAGTTAAGGCTGTTTAATGCTGTTTGCCTTCAGGATAAAAAGAGCAAATCAGTGCAAAGGGGTTGCCAGAGCTCCAGCCTGCAACCTGGCATGGATGCAGTGAGGTGATTCCAGCCTGGACACTCAGTTCCTACACCAAGGACCCCTCAAGAGAGTTTGGGTGGGCTGGAAATCAAAGGCAGCATCTGTGCATCCCGAGCACTCAAGGCTTTCCTGCAGCCGACAGCTCAGCCATCTCCAAAATATTCTTTCTGTGGGAATAGGAAATTGTTTCCCTATTTAATTGTTTAATTATCCACAGAGTCTCTATCACCAAGGTTTTAACCACAGCCATGGGGCAGGCTGGAAGTTCCTCCCATGATATCCGAGCATCCTCTAAGTCTCAGTTCAATCCCTGTCTCCTCAATAAGGCATATGAGTGCCAAACATATCCTGTGGGCCACCCCAAAATTCACCTCATTCATTGTGTAACACTTGCAGGCTGTTTAGGATGCTTAAGGTAGATCAATGCTCTCCACAGAGGGAGCTGTCCTGAAGCAACAGGCGGGGAAATTACTTTTACCCCAAGCAATCCTGACACTTTGCTTGCTGACCTGCAGGAGAAACCGTCCTTACTTGGGCTAGAGCTGGCTTGGGATGGGGGTTTGGAAACAAGGACTATAAGCTAAAGCATCTCCTCCAAACCTTCAAAACCCATCCTCAAACCTCCAAAGTCCACTTCCAAACCCCATCTCCAAATAGCCGCTACGCGGGATGGGGGGGGATGCTCGATGTGTGTGCCCGTCCGCCCCCAATCCCCATCCCCGCTGCGCTCCGGAGGGGATTCCCTTTACCCCGCTCCGCTCCGAAGCCCTATTAATTAACTCCACTACCAACTTCCCGAACAAACACACATCCCACCCGCGGAGCCCGGTAATCCCACCGGGGCGGAGGGCCGGACGGTTCCCTCCGAGGAGCACGACCCGGTGGGGTCGGGAAGGCGGTGGTGCCGAGGGATCGGGGGTCGGGAAGGCGGCGGTGCCGCAGGATCGGGATCGAGGTCGGGATCGGGAAGGCGGCGGTGGGGTCGGGATCGGGAAGGCGGTGGTGCCGCGGGAATCGGGATCGGGGTCGGGATCGGGACCGGGGTCGGGATCGGGACCGGGGTCGGCGCGGCGCGGCAGCTGCAGTATCCGCGGCGGCCGCGGGGCGGCGCTGGGCGCTGCCGGCGCTCACCGGGGCGGCCGGCGGCGGGGGCCGCTCTCTGCCGCCTTCCCGCGCCCTCTCCTCGCTCCGGCAGATCTCGCGAGAGCGCGGCCGGCTGGTGGCCGCGGGGGCTGTTGCAGCAGCGGCGGCGGCGGCGGCGGCGGCGGGAGGAGGAGGAGGAGGAGGAGGAGGAGGCGGCGGCGGCGGCCGGGGGCGGCCGAGGCGGCGGCGGCGGCAGGAGGCGGCGGCGGCGGCGGCGGGGGGCGGCCGCGCCGGGGCGAGCAGCGGCGGGCGAGGCCCGAGCGGCGGCGGCGGCGGAGCGGCGGCGGCATCATGGCGGACAGAGACAGCGGCAGCGAGCAGGGCGGCGGCGGCGGGGCGCGGCGGGCGCCGGGGGCCGGGCGCGGGCGGCGGCGGCCCGGGCGGCGGCGGCGGCGGAGGGGGCCCGGGCGGCGGGCTGCAGCACGAGACGCAGGAGCTGGCCTCCAAGCGGGTGGACATCCAGAACAAGCGCTTCTACCTGGACGTGAAGCAGAACGCCAAGGGCCGCTTCCTCAAGATCGCCGAGGTGGGCGCGGGCGGCAACAAGAGCCGCCTGACCCTCTCCATGTCGGTGGCCGTCGAGTTCCGCGACTACCTGGGCGACTTCATCGAGCACTACGCGCAGCTGGGGCCCAGCCAGCCCCCCGAGCTGGCGCAGGCGGCCGACGAGCCCCGGCGGGCGCTGAAGAGCGAGTTCCTGGTGCGGGAGAACCGCAAGTACTACATGGATCTGAAGGAGAACCAGCGCGGGCGCTTCCTGCGCGTCCGCCAGACCGTGAACCGCGGCCCGGGGCTGGGCTCCACGCAGGGCCAGACCATCGCGCTGCCCGCGCAGGGCCTCATCGAGTTCCGCGACGCCCTGGCCAAGCTCATCGACGACTACGGCGTGGAGGAGGAGCCGGCCGAGCTGCCCGAGGGCACCTCCTTGACTGTGGACAACAAGCGCTTCTTCTTCGACGTGGGCTCCAACAAGTACGGCGTGTTCATGCGGGTGAGCGAGGTGAAGCCCACCTACCGCAACTCCATCACCGTCCCTTACAAGGTCTGGGCCAAGTTCGGCCACACCTTCTGCAAGTACTCGGACGAGATGAAGAAGATCCAGGAGAAGCAGCGGGACAAGCGCGCCGCCGCCGCCGCCTCCGCCCCCGCCGCGGGCGCCGAGCCGCCCCCCGAGGCCGAGGCGGCCGCCGCCGGGCCGCCCGGCGCGCTGCTGCAGGCCGAGGAGCCCGAGGAGGACTGACCGCCCGCCCCCCGGGACGCGGACTGGCCCCGCCGCCGGCGGGAGGGGCGGGCGGGCGGCGGCGGGGCGCGGGGCGGCGGCCCGAGCCCCCGAGCCCCCGGCCCGGAGCCCCCCCGGCCGCGCCGCCCGCCCGGCGCCCCCCCCGCCGCCCGGCAGCAGCAGCAGCAGCGCCTCAGACCCGCCACCCCATCGCTGGATGTTCCTCCACTTTACCCACCGTATCAAACAGTAAGCAGCTGCTAAAAAAACAAAACAAAAACAAAAACAAAAAAAAATCAAAAAAAAAAAGATCCCCAAACAAAACAGAAACAAACAAACAGAAAAAAAAAAAAAGCGAAAAAAAAAACAAAAGCAAAACACACAAAAAAAAGAGAGTCAAAAAAAAAAAGTAATAACATTATATATGAACTGTGTTTCCTACTTGATTAAAAATATAAAGAACTGAGTGTTTATTTCCCTAATTAACCGAGAACTTTTGTACACGTTTAAGCTATTATTATTAAAAGTGTTTGCAAAAATGGTCAAGATTATAATATTGCTGAATTATATAAAAAAAAAAAAAGTCCTTTTCATGTTGAGCTAACATTTGACTTTAGCACAAAAAAAAAAAAGAAGAGATATTTTAGAACACGTAAAATAATATTTTTAGTTTTTTCTTCTCATTTTGTTACCAAATTTCAAACCTTACATGGAGGTTACTATAGTATATTTGACACCCTATATACCTGTGATTAGAGATGTGTATATATATATGAGGGCTAGGCATGCTGTGTGTCTGAGCTTTGTCTAAATGTTATGCAGAAGTTTGTAGAGTTAAAAGGTACGTAGGTTTAATTCATGCAAGGTAAACAATAAGTGCTCTCTTTTATACAATATGCATTGCATCTGGACCTTAAACATATAAAAATGGTCAGTGAAACTTCTGTGAACATGAAGAAAAATTATTAAAAAAGGCATTTAAATGAAATTTGCTAACTTGTGATTTTTACGTTTGAACCAAAGTTATTCAAATAGTAAAAAAAAAAAAAAAAAAAAAAAAAAGAAAAAAAAAAAAAAAGAGAGAGAGAGAAAGAGAAAAAAACGAAAAGTAAAGAATTTCCTCCCGTAATATTTTTTTTCTGCACCTGTTTGGTTTACAACTGAGTAGGCGTATTGTCATTATTGTGTATATGAGATGTACTTGTATTGTTCATAATATATTTTTTTTATTCTGTGTACTTAAAAGTACTTTATCCTGACGTGCAGCGGTTTCCAGTGCACCTGTTTTTTTGGACAGCAGGTAGCGAGTCTTTCCGTGTCGCCACTGGCACTAGCACTATCCTGAACTCGGGAGAGGTCCGGAGCGATGCTTTGATCCCTGTTAAACTTCCGTAGGCCTGTTAGGAACCAGTGCAGTGTGATCCCACTGAGCCATGGGGGTCGGAGTTTGGTTGGACAGTGAAAGCCAAGCCGGTGTGTGTCCGTAACGGATTTCCATGTAGCTGTGGTGCTAGTTATTACTGGCTACATACCTGGCGAGCCTGGCCGTGCCCTGCCCTCCCCGTCCCAGCTCTGCTCCAAGCCTAGGCTAGGGAGACGCAGATTTGTCAGAACACTAATCTGTCCAGGTGTGTTCTCCAAATTGAAATTGTTTGTAATAATATGATAAGAATAATAATAGACTTTTTACAGGTTGTCTTTGTTGTTTTCCGGTTATGTTTTGGTTTTGTTTCTGTTTTTTTTCTTTAAAAACAGAAGGAAAGTTGGTGTGCTTTTAATTGACTAACTTCTTGCTGCTGTATAGTAAAATATTAATATATTTTTATCATTAAACTGCTGCATGACTATCATCATTGCGAGTGAAGAGAAAATGTTATAAAAAAAAAAAAAGGAGATGCCTTAAACAGTGAAAACAAAACTTTTTTGTTTGTTTGTTTTTTCTTTTCTTTTCTTGGCTGGAATTCAGTAGGAGAGCATTTCAGAGAAACTAGGATTTTGTTCCACTCGGAAGTTTTTTTGGGATGCAATCATTTTGCTGAATGGTCTTGGCAGAGTTAGGGGCCAGGTAGAGCTGAGCTGCTCCTGTGAGAGCAGGAGCTGCCGGCGCTTCTTTACCGAGGGGCAAGGATGGAGTTTTGGAAGGGTGGGGAGAAAACGAAAAAAAAAAAAAAAAAAAGCTTGTTTTAAAGAATTTGATTTCCTGCTGTCATTTTATTCCCAGTTGAAATTATAATTCCCTTTTTCTTCTTGTTTTGTTTTTTGTTTTTTTTCGAGATGTACTGTAAGTGTCAAAACAAGCTGTTTCCATTGTACCATGCATTATTGCCCTTGAAAGAAGTTTGCTGTTAGTGTTCACAGAAAGTTAAACACGAGACGCTGGTAGCGAGGTGTTTCTGTTTCTTTTTAAACAATCACTGGAAATGTTTAAAATTGCTTTAATGTGCACTTTTCCTATTTCCCAGTAGTGAAATAAGCTTTTTTTCGGAGTGCGTAATGTGACATTTGAAATGGTTCTCAATTGCATGTAAACATGTGTCTGATAACCTGCTTCTGATTCGGAGGCTCTGGATGGGCAGTTCCAGCGATTATTGTACTTCAACTGTGATGTGTCGGGACTGCACTCTCCATGCTGCTAGACGTAGTTAGGAATTTAATTGCTTTGGTTTTTGCTACTTGATTTGATTGTCTCGGTCCTGCTGTTCGCTGCCCTCCCCAAAGTTGTCGCGCTGCCGACGGACGCGCTCCGGCGCCCCGTAGTTCCAGCGGCGTGTTCCCGGCAATAAGTAGCGGCAGGCGAGGCGAGCCCGGCGGAGTGTCCTTCCGTCCCTCCCGGCTCCTGGGAGCACCGCTAAGCGAGGCAGGCTGCTCCCGAGGTCTTCCTCGCCCGCGCCGCCCGGATCCTGCCCAGGATCCGGCTGACCCGAGGAGCGCCCGGGCCGCGCGGTTCCAGTCAAACCAGTACAGCCTGGAACAGCCCGCGGGCAGTTCTGTGAACAGTGTCCGAGAACTTGTGGTCAGTTTTTTGTCTCGTTTTTGTTTTGGTTTTTTTTGTTTTCTTTATTTTTTTGGGGTTTCTTCTGCGTGTTTCGTTGGGGTTTGTTTTGTTTTGTTTTGGGTTTTTTCCCTCTTTTAATGCACGTTCTGTATGTTCAAGGACTTGATGAATGATAATGAAAGACTAAAATGACTGTAAAGATTCGTGGGATTTTGCTCCTGGTTGTTTTAGTTTTCATTTTTAATTTTCTTCTCTTTTTTTCCTTTTTTTTGTTTTAATTTTTATTTTCCCGGCGGTGCTCGGTACTTTACCAAGGCTCTAATATCTCAGTATTTAAAACAAAGTACAGAAAACCCTGTTTAATGTTAGAAGAAGAAAGGTATATTTGACCATATGTGTTGTTTTAAAAAAAGACAGTATGCTCAAATGTGCCAAGATACCTAATTCCTGAGAAGTATGCCTTATATTTTCCTTGATGATATGCTTTTAAATGTCTTGTAGAATAGGTCCAAGAGCATGATAAAAGCTACTTTATAATGACTACGTGCAAGAAAACTTGAAATTCATTGCAATACTGACATTATTTTATTTTTAAGTTAAAGGGACACTGTCAAGTAATTTACCATTGAAACAACCACCCTTTAAGTGGTTTTATGCTAACGGGGAAGCGTCGTCCGAATTCGAATTCTATTTTTTATTTGTTAAAAGAGGAAAAAAAAAAAAAAAGTTAAATTGCTCTGTCTTTGAGAATTTAAATAATAAAAAAAAAAAAAAAAAAAAAAGCGAAACAGCACGAGCCGCTGTCGATTCCTGCCTCTTCTTTGCGGGCCCGCGGCGGGAGGCGGCTCGCCGGGGGCCGGGGGGATTGTGGCCCCGGTGCCGGGAGCGCCAGGCTTGGGCCGGGCGGGATCCGCGGAGCCGATCCAGGAGCCCGGCCGCGGGATGCCGGGAGCGCCCCGAGCTTCCCGCCGGCCGCGGCGGAGCGCTTGTTTGGGTTTTAAATTGGAAAACTTAACTGAAAAAAAAAACAACAACAACAATAAAAAAAAAAAAGGACATAAATACTTGACAGTGTCGCTTCGTGCGTATCCCGCGCAGGGGTTGAAATGTGCTGGGTGTGGCGCTGCCGGGAGAGCGGTTCCCAGCCTGTCCCGGGATGTGGGAAGCGCGGAGGGGCTGCGGGTGGGTGCAGAGCCCACCCTGAGAGCCGGGCAGAGCTGCTGCCGGGGATTTAACCCCTGCTCAGAGCCGACCGATAACTTCTTTTTTTTTTTTTTGGTTTGGTTTGGGTTGGGTTTGGTTTTTTTTGGGAGCAATTACTTTGTTGCCTTTAAAAATAGCACTGTAACCACCTTTTTTTATGATTAGCTGTAGTGTAACCTTTGTCCCTTCAAACTATGCAAGCTATGAAATGTAAATTAGGGATCAGTTAAAGATAGTTGATTATATTCAATCAGATGACATTCATGCACTAACTGGAGTATATACAGATAAAGCTATTAGAGTGACTTGTATGCTAACAGCAAGATATAACATACCTACCTATTCTAAAAAAAATGACTATTAATATTGTATAACAGGACTGTGGGGGTTGGGAGGGAATGTTATCTCTTACCTTCTTAAAAGGGGATTTAAGATTTTTATAACTGTTTTTTCCATCAAACTTTAATATTTTTGTCAAATTTTTAGGTATTTAATTTGTAAAATAGATTTTACTTTGTACTGGCGTACAGAAAATAGGGGTTGATTTAAACTTTTTTGAAGCCAAGTGATCAAGTACATTTGTAATAAAAAGTCAATGGATCTATATCAGTCGTACTCACTGTTTTCATTTCTTGTACGTTCTAATGCAGTGGCGCTGTATGTCTCCCAAGGAAAAAAAAAATTGGGGAGGGGGGTGGAAGGAGAAGGCAAAAATGTCAGCGTTGATGCTGCCAATTGATGCGACTTTGTGTGGGCAAATGGCCCCTGGTCAGTGGAGATTTGGTAGATATGCATTTTTCCTAAAAAAAACACAGTGCACTTTTTCCAGAAGGGTTTATGCAAACCTGACGTTTTTGGCATGTCTTCACTTCATGCTTCCACCTTGGCACCCGTAAACTCTGTAAAGCCCCCGCTTTGGGAAGCGCCTTTTGCTGGCACTTCAGAAAAAAAAAGCAAAACCAAGCAGAGCAAAACTCTGATTTCTTCTAAGGTGGTGAACTACGGCACATGATGTTTTTGCACCCACACATGTTGTCTCCCTTCCTCAAAG